ACTTATACATAGAATATAGCATGAACTCATAAGCTCAATAGAGCATTAATTGCCACTTAAAATAAGCTGCAGACCTAAAAAGATACTTCCTAAAAAAGAAAGACCACTATGATTAACAAGTTATGAAAATGTACTGTAGGAAGCAGAAACAAATATCACAATAAGATGCCAACATCACTCCACTAAGAATAACTATTATGCAGAAGTTAAGGATAACATTTGGAAGCTTATGGAGAGAAAGCAACACACATGGGCACTATTAGACTGCTAGTCAAAATGAAAGCTAATAGAAGTATTATGGGAAACAAAATTGAATTCCCTCAAAAAGTTTATAAAAGCACTTTTGTGACAGACATGAGCTATCCAAATTCTTGGGAGCTGGGGCAAAAAGACCAGGAATAGGGTCGGTGAGGGACACAGGAAGTTTCAAAAACAAAGGAAAATAAAGAAACAACCAAACCAAACGAAAGATAAAAACTATCACCACTAACCTTTATTAATTAACTAACAAAACAAGTAAATGAAAAAATGAATATAAATAGAAAAATCATGAAGTTTTGCACTATAACCCAGCAATCTCACTGATCGATATTTATCCGAGGGATACATGAAACTGAAATGACTAGGGTGAAGTGAAGTCTTTACTCATTTACTAGAACATTATTCTTACTGACGAAAGAACTCCTTCAGTGTCCATCCACCAACTGGTGAATCAAGGAAGAGTGCTGGAAAAATATTCACAAGAGGAATAGTACTTGCCTCTAAAGAGAGCAATGTTCTTTAACTTGCCAAGAAACATAGGTAGATCTGTAAGTCACTATGTTAGATGGCATGAGCCAGGAATGGAAAGCAAAATACTATGTGAGCTGCTTCATATTTGGAGCCTACACAAGTCATTCTCATAACAGGTAACCTTGAGAATGGTGATTAGAAGAACCTAGGGAAAGTAGAAAGTAGGAAGATGTGAAAAGAGCTCAATCTAGGAACAGTACAGTCTAATTTTGATGTCTAGGTGCTGTATTTCATAACAGCCTGACTACAGATAATTTCATATTAAACATCATATAAATAAACAAAGATTTATAGTATTTTTACCATATAGAAAGACTAAATATTTGAGAAAATTGATACGTAGCACAATTTAAACTTTATACAACATGCACAGCTATTGAAAGAACACTTGGTACTGAATTTAAATGTACACTTTTATGTTATGTAAAACACTTATGTATCTGTGAATAAACTTAATTTAAATTTAAAAATGTATAAAGTAAACATCATAATTACCAGCTGGTAGAATTTCAAAAGGGAAACTCCACTGTCAGTTTTACACAAAATTAGATATAAAACAATTGCCTTCATTCATACACATTAATATACAATGAAATGACTCAATTATTTTTATTATTATTTGCCACTGAATTGATTGGCATAAAGTTATTCATCAGATTTCCAAGTCAGCAATGAAATATTGTTTTTTGGTCTTTAGAAACAATACAACATAGTTATTGGATAATTTGGTGTTCTAAAGTTTGGGTCTGAATTGGCTGAAGCCACACTAGGCAGATTAGAGCTATACACTCATTCCAAAGTCATGTCATGATTTACTCAAATCTTTATTGCAATCTAAACATCAGTGCAATTCTCTTGCTTGTTCCAAATAGTTGTAGGATGTGTTTCATACGTGGCCAGTACTGAAATGGAAATCTTAAGATAGTGCTGGAGAATGAAGCCAGGCAGAGGAAATTAAATGAGCGGATCTATTCAGTACACATTCAAGAAGGTGGTGGGAAGAATAAAGTCTACCTTGTATGATCAGGAGGAGAAAAATTATAAAGATGGAATAATTAGAATTGAAAAATTACCATATTGAAATCATTGGACCAGATTAGTTGCTGATGTGCAGGATGCTCTATGCCATTGGTGGGACCCAACACAAACAGAAAACAGGAAACACCTATTCTAAAATTATTAAGAATATCATGACAGCAAGAGTAGCTCATTAACCAGTAGAGAAACCTTCTCAGCACATGGCTCTTTGTAACTGCACAGGTCACATGTTAATGAAGTCAGCACTGTTGCTTGACTGCTGATACCACCATCTGGTAGCCCGTAAAAAGAACTAACTGGTATACCCTGTAGAGCACACCTTGCTAAGACAAAGCCAAATATAACTACAACTTTATTTTTATCTACTGTGTTTTACCATGCCATTTTGTGCAATACTTTAATGAAAACATTAGAAATAGACACTTCCTGAGACATGCACACTTAGTGACTACACGCTCTGCATTTATCACTCTACTCTGATATGTTAGTTGCCTTTCTGTTATGACGTAGTTTTCTTCTCTTCTGGATGGCTTTTTGATAGCTTTCTGACTTATGGTGTAGTTTTACATCCACATGGACTATGGCAAGGATAAGCAGAGGAATCTGCAGTTTTATTTGGCATGTTTAGAGCTAGAACTCAATTGAATGATAAGGTCACAGGTCTGGAACTGTTGATGCTACAAGGTCTATGGATTGTATCCTGGATGCCCCTTTAAAAATCTCATCATTAGTGAAGTATGCAATATTCTCACAATTGTGTGGTATTCTTTGGCACTTTTGGAAGATGGCCTTTTAGCCACAGGCACATGCTGCAAGAATCACTATACATTAGTCTGGTGTGTGAGGACAGCTATAGCCCATATCATCTTTTAAGTTTTCTGAGGGAGTTAGGAGAGAAAAGGATGTACTACAAATAGGATGTGTGACTTTGCTCTGAACAAATTGAGGCCTGTGAATTGTATAAGTGAGCAAATCTAATTTTAGTGAACAAAAGAGCCTGCGAGATGCTGAGTGTAATTTTTATGTAAAAATAGGAGTCTCCAAAGACATCTCTCTTTAAACAGATGAATGCAAATTACTGAAGTCATCCAAATTGAGGTTGATTTATGCATTTTTCATTGTATTCTTTCACAACAGAAAAAAAGCTTTTTCTGTTTCCAAATAGGATGCATTTGGGGTAAAGTTTCACGTGGCGCACCAAGAATGGCTTAGCAAAGAGAGATCCAAACCAGTCATGTATAGAAATTATTTCTGTGTCTTTTTTTTCCCCTCAAATACAGCTTCTGCCAAATAGGCTGGCCAACTGTCTACTGAATCCATTTTTTTAGAGACTTGAATTTTAATTACACAAATAAAAGTTTTAATACTATGTATCAGAATATATGATACATGCGCCACTGGCACCCAGTGTATTCAGCAGAGGACAGACACAGTAGGAAAAGGAAAACAGAAAAAGAAAACCCAGCTCCGATTCAACTTGACTATATGAAGAAGCTCAGTTCTGAAATCAACGCCAGGCATGAATTTTATTCAGTCACCATTTGAGCATTGTTAGTGTAATGATGTAGTTCAGCTTTACATGTGCAATACTCTTAAAATTGACAATAAGTCACTGGCTTGTATGGCACCACACAAAGAGGTCTTGTTTGAGAGGATTTGCTGTAGGGTTTTCATTCTTCTCATCTGAGACTTTGTTTTCCTTTTCTGACCCTTTCTTTCAATTCTTAAAATGCTTTTAAATTTTTATTTATTTTATTTGTGTGTGTGTGTATCAGTGTTTGTCTACATTTATATATTTGCACTCTATATGTGCAGTACTTGCGAAGGCCAGAAATTGAGATTTTAGAAGGATATGAGGGGTCTGGGAACTGAACCCAGGTCCTTTTCCAAAGCAGAAAACACTCTGAATCAGTAAGCCATCTCTCCAGCCATCGCTGAAATAGATTAAGATATGCTCATTATATACAAATATATTTGTGTATAAATATATATGTACATTCACACATCACATAGATACTGTGTAAAAATTAATCTATACATTGTTCTGTGTTCGTCCACATAGTGAATCACTTATTTATTCTACATATTTTGATGAGTGCCAAATAATATAAGTTTCAGCTCCGAAATCTTAAGACAAAATCCCTACAACTCAGAGTGGAAGGTTTCATTTCATACAGGATCTTACATTGTTAGTTAATAGATAGGTAAGTTTTGTTATTCTCTCTTAACCTATTATTTTATTGACTTATTTTTAATTGAAAAAAATCATACACAACATATTGTGATTATGCTTTTCTGCTCTTCCAACTCATCCACCTTCTCACAATCCTCCCAACCTCCCTACCCTACTGATCCAACTTCATGCCTTTTATTTATCTCACTTTAAAAAAGTAAACAAAAAACAAGAAAAAAACAAACAAACCCAAGAATACACACACATACACCACAAAAATGGAAAACAAAACATGTAAGCAAATAACCAATAAGAAAAAAAAAAAACAAATAAATTTAGAAATATGCATTTAAATAAAAATTTTAAAAATACCATTGATTTTATTTTGTGTGGGTTAAATTCTCTGGGGTATAAAAACCAATGTGGAATGTGGTTATATATTTAATGAAACTTCATGGGAGAAACCTAAGTCTTCCTTTGTTAGAGGTTATCAATTGCAGATAGTTTTTTGGTAAGGTGAGTTTTGCCCATGTCCACATCGTCTTTTCAAGGCTAGGACCCTGCCTGGCTTGAAACAGTGCAGTCCCTAGGAGTGCTACCATGGTTTCTATGAGTTCATATATTCTTATGACCATCAGTCTGCTGTATCTGGAAGACACGTTTCCTTGATGCCATCTATCACATCTGGACTCCTTTCCACATAGATCCCTGAGGTCCTATGAAGGCGTAAGTCACGAACAAGGCCACACCAGTTTGGAGTTATGATTAATAGGGTGTTATTTATTTAAAGGGGCAAACTTACAGATCACCGTCCCAGACAACAGCCATCTGCACAACCAGGAAGGGAGTCTAGTCTCCGGCGGAGCAGGAAGTGAAGAGAGCTAGCAGAGGAAATAGCCGCTTTTTTAAAGGGAGGGAGACCACTCCCCAATGGGCTGGTATCACAGCAGCTATTAGTTGGAGGGGCGGAAGGACCTCCCGCAACAGCCCTAGGTGAGATGTTTGATGAAAACAACCCATTTAGAGAATCCCAAAATTGACCTAAAGTAAATCCCAAGGTAAAAATCTTTCCTGGGTTCAGAATTTGTAGTAATAGATGTGAACATGATGGAAGTTATTTGATGAACATGTGTGATACTGAAAACAGGACAAATATATTTTTTTGGTGTTCTATCCAGCTCTAATCCTGTGCTTGAGCTTTAAAACTCAAAATTTTGCTGTATACCCTGATATCTCAGGCTTTCCCTGGGTTCCTACTTGTACCACCTTATGCCCATATTATCCTTTTTCTTCCGGTAGAATCAGCTTCTCAAATGTGGTAATTCTGCATTGTTTTTGACTTGTGTCTTTTTTGTTGTTGTTGTTGTGTTATAAAAGATTATTACTACTATGACTACTATTACTATTATTGTTATTATCATATCCTGGAGTTTATGGTAATCCCAATATAAACTTCTCCAAAGACCCCTAAATTTAAATTTTTATATTTACTTAAGCTGAAAGATTCATACATCCTCTGTATTCTCAGAAGATATTGAAATATTTTATTCATTGCCTTCTAGTCCCCTTTTGCTAACTTTGCTCTTGAGGTATATTTCTTTTTCTTCTTCATTGTCTAAAATGCTTTGAAGACTTTCACAGATGTTTAAGTGTCATGTTAAGCACACAACAGTACAATCACAGTACATCAATTAGTAATAAGCCCTCTGTGCAGCATAATAATTTAGTTAAGACCATGATTTTCTGACGTGGGATTCCTCTCTGTATGCTGTGAATATCATTTATTAATAAAGGAACTGCTTTGGGCCTATAGTAGAGCTATAGGGGAACAGAGCCAGGTGGGAAAAACTAAACTGAATGCTGGGAGCAAGAAGGGCAGAGTCAGAGAGAAGCCATGTAGCCCTGCCGGAGACAGATGCTGGAAATTTAGCCAGTAAGCCACAGCTACGTTGCCATACACAGATTAATAGAAATGGGTTAAATAAATATTTAAGAGTTAGCCAATAAGAAGCTAAAGCTAATGGACCAAGTAGTGATTTAAATAATACAGTTTCTGTGTGATTTTTTTCGGGGCTAAGCAGCCAGGAACCAACAAGCAGCCTGCTGCCACATTCTTCCTATTGAGTAAGAAGAAAAGGTCGTATTTTCCTAACTGAAAGTCTTCATGATTAGCCCATTGTCCTTTTATTCAGCAGCTTCTTTGAGGTTCAAACTTTTTGTAATCAAATTATGGTATATATCCTTCATATTTTAAAATGTCTTAATTTCAATTATCTACACCAAATTTATGGTCTTTCTGGAACAAAGTCAATTTCAATATGTCCTATTGTGAATTATTGTGATTTTTTTGTCTCTTAATGAAAAAGCACACACATACACAAACAGCTTTAAACAAATTAATAGTCAAAGGAATCCAAAATAAAGGGAGCTTCTAATATTATTTAATTTCAAGAAAAAAGCTTTAGGGGTAGTTGTATAATAGCATTAATAAAGATTCTAGTAAGAGATTCTCTAAATTTTATCTCCAACTTAACTTTGCATTCCATGTGATTTTTTTTTCACTTCTACTTTTTTTTTCTCTGTGTTAATATGCTCACATCTACTTCTAGTCGAAAGTGCACAGATGGTATTTTGGCTTTTATGTTTGTGCTTGTGGTCTTTCCTTCTGAGTAGGCATTAAGCAAATTGCTCCTTCACAGAAACCATTACTTTAATTCCTTACTCCTATTTATATCGATCATGAAATAATCAAATTATACCATCAAGTGAACTAAATGTAATTTGTAAAAAAGGCTTCAGACATGCTCAAAATGAGAAGCTGTAATTAGTAAATCTGTAGATCGATGGTATATTTATGTAACGTTGACTCAAATGGGTTGTTCCATTTTAAAACATTGATTATACAAGTCCTGTGTCTAATCTGGGCTTATTTCTAGCGCATTGGAGCACTGACAAATGCTTCCAAATTCCTCTCCAGCCAGCGATCTTTATTTAATGACGCTCAAGCCATTATGTCACCTGAGAACATCAGAAATGAACACAAACAACACTACAAAGGCAAGCAGTATGAGACATAAACAAAACTTGACTTCATTAATTGCTAAAACAAGTATAATTATTAGGCACTCAGATATGAAATTGCAGTCATTTTTGTTAATTTTTGAATGTTTTAATTCTTACACTAATGGTCAGAAAATAGGTCTAGTCCTGATGCTGTTCTCAAACACATTGTATATTTTATATCTAACAAAAATTAAAAATATGTTCATCAATAAGAAATGGGCATACTTTAATATACTTTGCAACATCAAATTCTTAATAAAAGAATTTTTATCTCACCCCTTAATAAGTTATTATAAAGTATAAAGCCTCAGTTAAAAACATCTAGTGGGTTCTTTTGTTGTTTAGTTGCTTGTTTGTTTGTTTGTTTTTGGTTGTTTTTTTTTTTTTTTTTTTTTTTTTGAGATAGAGTGTCTCCATGTATCCCTGGGCATCCTGGAACTCAGCTTGTTGTCCAGCCTGGCCTCCAACTCAAAAATTTGCTTTCCTCTCTCTTACAAGTGCTGGGGTTACAGTTGTGTGCCACCACTGTCCGTCTAAGAAGTACTCTTTTTATGTGGGATTATTCACTACAATTTTCCTGAGGGTCTGAGTAGGATGTAAAATATGGGTAGAATTAACCTAAACCTTGAGGATTTTGTTGGCTTTCTTGTTTGGTGTTTGGATAGGGCGGTTCAAGCATCCAAGGCTGGTCTTAAATTTGTCAAGTAGCTGAGGGTTACCATCTTAGTTTGGGTTTCTATTTCTGTGACCAAATACCATGTTAAAAAAAGAAAAAGTTGTGGAGGAATGTGTTCCTTTGATTTACTTTTCCACATTACTATTCATCACTGAAGGAAGTTAGGGCAGGAACTCAAACAGGGCAAGAACCTGGAGGGTGGAGCTGATGCAGAGGCTCTGGAGGGGAGCAGTTTACTGGCTTGCTCCCCATGGCTTCCTTAGTCAGTTTTCTTATAGACCCAGGACTATCAGCCCAGAGATGACAACACCCATCATGGGTTGGGCCCTCTCCCAGTGATCACTAATTGAGAAAATGCTTGATAGCTGGATCTCAAGGAGGCATTTTCTCAATTGAGGCTCCTTCCTCTCTGATGACTTTAGTTTGTGTCAAATTGACAAGCAAAACTAGCCAGTGCAATCACCCTGAACTTTTACATTTTCTGATGACACCTCCAGAGTCCTGGGACTCCAGCCTTGTGTAACCATTCCTGACTGGTTTTATGTGTTCCTGAAGATCAAACCAGGACCTCATACAACCTCAGCAAATACTCTATAAACTAAGTTGCATCCTTATGGTGTGAGTTTTAAATTTTGTTGTCATTGTTTTGTTTGTGGGTTAATTTCTTCTTCTTTTCTTTTGATATGTTTCTGTGTTTATTTATAAAAATTAGACATTCCAAACTGTTATACAATGAATAGAAGAAAAAATATAAACTTGAAAATTTTAAGTGTGATTATATAATTGACCAACTTGAACAGTATTGATTTATGCAGTTATTTAAAAAACATAATCTAGTATCAATCTATCTATATCTAATTCATTATATAATTCACTTTATTTTTGGTCTTGGTAGTGAGTGAATTGTTCCCATGCATGTCATTATATGATAATATTTTTCTACATTGTCAAGTTCATTTGAGCTCTTTTTCCTTAATATTCTTGGGTAGTAGGTGTCAAGTAATTTTCTTTCTGGACCTCTGAGCCATAAACATGATTGCATCCAAATGTGTTCATTTAAAATAAAGAAAATATTAGTAATATTTCCCTATTCTTGTAAACCTTACACAAAATATTTTCAGTAAAGAGAGAAAAAAAAAAACAAATCAAGTGGCAGTCCGGTTTCAAAAAAGAAAAAAAAAACTTTTTAGGAGAAGAATAACGACTTCAAACAATAATGCTTAATGTTATGTGTCATGAAGTGATTCAGAAAATTAATCAGGAAACACTAGTTTCTTATGATTTAGAGTCTGTCATAAGTCATTGTGCATGGCAGCTTGAAGGCCTAATGTGGCCCATGCATGGAGTTGGACCCCTGTCATGGTGGTGGCTTCTGGGTCCAGCTTCTGTCCACCATGCTATTCTGACATGCCTTAAGAATGTCTGTCAGTTGGTTTCTCACAAAGCAATTGATTCTTGTCCTTTAGAAAACAACATAGAAATTGCATTGGGTTTCATGACTCTTCTTCGGGAGGCAAACACAGTTGTCAGCAATATATATATGAGCAGCCATGATTCAATATTGGAAGAAGTCAAAGGCCTCCAGGCCCCTCTTAGAAGCTGTATTTCAAAGGCCTGTAAAAGATACAGCAATAGAGAATAACACTTAAGGCAACGTGAATACATGGTCTGAGAAAGAATAATGGCACCCTAGTGTCTGAAGAAATTATAGGAATTCAAAATCAGGAATGAATTTGACAAAATATGATTTTTTGAGTTAAAAATAAAATGAGGGTAAGAAATAGAAACCAGTAATACCATTTGTTTCCTAATCATTACTTGATTGAGAAAATAAGTTAAACCACTATACTGCCTGTTTTAAATAAACTGTCTTCAATTTTGCTTAGTATTTATCACATCCTCCCTTTAGTTAATAAAACTTAATTGGCATTTTTTTATTTAAGAACAAGAGAGTGAATATGCTTTAAGAGCAAACTATGACTGATTATAAGTTGATAAAGAAGAAAATAATTTCCTATTTTCTTGTTCAATACTATTAAACTCAATAAAAGCTGAATTCAACTTAAATCCACAAAACTTTTTTAAGAGAAAAATTTCCAAGCATCAATCATAAATAAAAATAAATTACAATGGAAAATGTTCATCAATATAAGGAAACTGATATTGTATTAAGTACTAATATTTTATGCTTGATATTTTAGTTGATATTGGGAGCCTTAAAGGTATTTAAAATCCTAAGAAATTTCAAATAACAATGATCTCATTTGTTTTCCTTATATATAAAATATGACATAATATTTCATTCATGAACAAATAGTCATTTACACTAAGAAGAATCAAGTCTTTGAAACTTCTGTAGAGATCCGGAGACATTTGCAAAGTTTGATTAAAAATAACCAAGCTCTGTAGC